CTTGCGTCCCGCGTTAAGGAAAACGCCAGGGGTCTCCCTCGTCCGACGGCGCCGCGCCGCTCACGCCCGCTCGCCAGCCCCTTCCTCACGTTACCGTTAGAACCGGCTTCTCCTTCCTGTCGACGCGGGCCCCCGTCGTTCATCCTCACCCCAACCCCAGGAATAACGTCCACGATCCCAAGCAGCCATTCCGCCGGCTGCTGGAGGATCGGCCAGCGGAACATTTCCCCGTTAGAGAGCCAAGGGGATCACAGTCAGGTTCCCCTAAGTGCCCCCCCAGGCCTGAGGGGAAGGACGCTGCCCTGGGGCAGCGCTGGGGCAGCGGTCCGCTTCCTAGCGGGTGACTTAGGGGCGGAATGGCACGAAGGGTGAAGGGTGAGGGAAACGGGGCGTTTGCTCTGAGCCGCCTGGGAGGAGAGCCTTCCGCGACATGCCGAGAGGCACTGCGAAAGGACCAGTTAGCTGCATCTTGGGTTGTAGTGTTTCCTACAACCCGGGTTTTGGAGGAAGTCGGGTCAGTGGGCCCGGCTGGCGCAGCAGAGCCGTGGAAGGTTGGAAATGGCTCCTTTTTTAAAGGAGCGCCCTCCGCCCCCTGTAAGCTGTGCGGTGGGTACACGTCCCCCCACGGGGCGGCCTTTGCAGCCACCGAATCACGTTTATTAGTAAACCAACCCGTCCTATGCCTGCTTTGAGAAAGGTATTTATTTTGATAGTTGTTTGAGCTGCCTTATAATAAACCCACAAAACTTTGAGTGCACAAGGGAACAGAAGTCCCCCAGTAATCGGGTCGAGGTATTAAATCCACGGAAAGTTGGTAAGAAAAATGGAAATAATTTACAATAGCAGTAGACAGTATTTTAGGGTCATGGTGATTGGTTCCCGTAATAATTGTGCACGTTTACCATAGAATTCTGAAGGAAGTCGCTTCAGACCTGGGTCCTTCCTTCTCAGTAAAGAGGGGCCGTAAGGACAGATGACTTCGAATGTGGGTCTGAAATATATAAAGGCAATTAAAAACGTGACCATTTTGATGGAAGCAGGGTTCCTCACCCTTGGTGCTGTTGACATTTGGGGCTGGGTCACTCTTTGTGGGAGCAGCTGTCCTGTGCACTGCAGGATGTTTAGAAGTTATCTCTGGCCTCCATCTACTAGATGCCAGTAGCACCCTCCCATCACCCCCACTGTGATAATCAGAAATGTCTCCAGATACTGCCAAATGTTCCCTGGGAGATGAAATCGCCCCTCTGCCCCACACATGACCAATGGATTCAAGGGCCCCTGAGAGAAAGTAGTGCAGGACAGGAACCCCTTGGCCACCAGGCTGATACTAAGCAGCGAGGAGCCTTTGAGAACTAAGCAAAAATAGTATCTAAGTGGCCACTGACGAAGGTAAACTTGACATCAAGAGACAAGGACAGATTGGAGGGAGTAGTGAACGAACACAGCACAAGCGAAATGTGTTTGGGTTAATCTAAATGTGGGTTAATCTAAATGTAGCAGAGTCATGGAAGTGTAACAGAAACACGGGTACAGGGATACCACGAGACCCCATCAGAAGGACATGACCTTCCTGGGATTTAGCAGCAGGGTGGTGGTATATGCTAAGACAGATACAGAGGCTGTGGCTAAGATTTCTGTTAGAGGGATGAGTTCAGCTTTAAGTGTACTGATTATGGAATGGTAGTGACACCAGGCAGCAGCACAAAGGGCTGGACTGGGATTCAGGGGAGTGGGGAGGACCAAAGATAAAGATGTGCTAATAGTGGTCTGCTTAGAGGGGATGCTTGAGGGAAGAGACTCCTGAAGTCTCAGGACAGACTGAGAGGAGTGGAGGCAGGAGGACTGAGCCAGGGGGAGAGCTGGTGGAGGGCTGGGAAGAACGCCAGCCAGGAAGTCCATGGTGCACTTGAAGGAGCAGGAGAGAGTGTAGGGAGGCTTACCATCTGAAAAAGGAAGGGGAAGGCTCACTCGGGGGGCATCCGTAGGGCTCCGTGCCATTGAGACATCACAAGGATCACTGATACCCAGACTGAGATGGCCAGAGTAAGTCTGCTTCTCCTTGGTACTGAGCAAAGATGCACGACACGGGTGGGACTGCACAGCACTCCGACTCCAGTAATCCCACTGCACCGCGCTTTGATGCCTTGCCGAGCGGCACTGAATCAGGCTTGATGAAAGCTCTGAACCCTAAAATGCCCGACAACTTAGCCGGCCCAGCACTGCCCTGGCTTTTGCCTGTTCTTCTGACTCCTGCGCCCTTCCCGCAGCCACAACCATCCCGGGAGAAGTTCTACAGCATGGCCGCCCAGATCAAACTCCTCCTAGAAATTCCTGAGAAGATCTGGAGCTCGATGGAGGCCTCTCAGTACCTCCGTGCCACACAGCTGTACCTGCTCTGCTGCCACCTGCACAGCCTGCTCCAGCTGGACTCCTCTGGCCCCCGGAACAGCCCCGTCCTCTCCCGATTCCCCATCCTCGTCCGGCAGGTGGCCGCGGCCAGCCACTTCCGGTGAGCGGGCCCAGCGTGGGGACCTCTGGTGGGGGCCCGGCTTCACCACTCTAGTTTTATGGAGGATGTCTTCTTTCCTGATGCACCAGGGCTCTTCTCCCAAAATGTGAAAAATTCCCTGGTGACCTTTGTCATCTTCCTAGGTCAACCATTCTGCACGAGAGCAAGATGCTGCTCAAATGCCAGGCCGTGTCGGACCAAGCTGTAGCTGAGGCCCTGTGCTCTATAATGCTCCTAGAAGAGAGTTCTCCTCGCCAAGCCCTGGCAGACTTCCTGTTGGCCAGAAAGGCAGCTATTCAGAAACTTCTCAACCAGCCGCACCATGGTAGGTGTGGCTTCTTTCCAAAACTTGGTCCATAAACATAGGAACGGAGACAGTTGGGCTGTGGGAGACTGAAGCATCCAGTGTTTTGTGTTTTTAACTTTTCTAAAGGAAATGATTTAAAAGGATGGTCTCTTCTCGTAGGTGCTGGTATCAAGGCTCAGATTTGCTCATTAGTGGAGTTGCTGGCCACCACTTTGAACCAAGCTCATGCTCTTTTCTACACTTTACCAGAAGGTCTCCTGCCAGATCCATCCCTGCCATGTGGCTTGCTCTTCTCAACTCTGGAGACCATCACAGGCCAGCATCCTACTGGTGAGCTCTTAGCCAACCTTTTTTATTTTCTAGTTCATTCAGCTGATGTTTATTGAGCATCTACCATCTGACAGCTATTATGCTAGGCTCTCTGTCGATACAGCAGTGAACTGGACAAATATGGACCCCACCTTTGTAAAGGTCACAGTCTATAGGTAGAGGCAGGTTTTGAGCTCAGATACACACATAGCTGTTTAATGTCGATATTGGTAAAATTTCTCCCAATTGGAATTAAATGCATTTGGCTTTTATGTGGCAGTGGATCCCCATGAGGCTGGAGTGGATGCTGAGAGCTTACTGAGGAGGCTGTCATTGCGACCCAGGTGACAGATGATGGAGCAGTACAGATAGAGCTAACTGGACAACTCAGATATGTTTAGGAGGAGATGATCTGGTGAGGGATTGGCTGTGCATGGTGTGGAAGGGAGGTGTCGTTGAGTTTACTAGAAAAAGAGCTTGTTTAAAAGTGTTGATGATTAGTTCACTCTTGAAAATACTGTGCTGGGGACGACTGACACCTTGGATGGGAATGTGAGTGGGCTGGCGATTGTGGCTCAGGAACAGAGCTATGAGGGGTCTGGCTGGAGACACATATCTGTGACTCTCTGCATGTGGCTGTTGTTTGGAGCCATGGGGGGATGGGTGACATCATCAGTAAGAAGAGAGGATGACTTAGGAAACTGTAGAACTCAAAGGTCAGACGGAGGAGACAGCCAAAGGTGGAAGAGAAACAAGCAGAATGTGGTGACAGCCGTGAGGTCCTTTTCAGAGGTGTATTAGCTGGTTTCATTTCTGGCTACTCTGTCTCTCAGCTGGGGCACCACTTCCTTACGCTTTGGTCTCCCTCCACGTATCTGTGTTTGCACATTTCCCCTCCTGTGACAGGTGATTATTGGCTAATTTGTCATGGCATTGGAAAACAAGTACAGGGGACCTCAGGAGGACCTGTTTCAAGCTCCAGAGGGTGATTGTGCACAGTGAGCGGGCCTCCCGGCATTGCACAGTGTGGGCCTGTGCCCTTCTGGAGAGGTCACCTCTGAAGAGCTACAACAACTCAGTGATCTGGATGAGTGGCCACCAGTTCTTCCCTTAGATCCTCAAGGGAGGTGGGATGGTGAGGGACAGGAAGTGTCACCTTTTTTGACAACTAAAGTTTTACTTTGCAAATGTCAAGGACTACACAACACCCAGTCCTCCTTTCTCTCTCTGATTCCTTTCCTCGCTTCCCTCGCTGCCTTCTCAGCCGACAGGATGACCAGACTTGGAGGGAAGCTGCCAGCTCCCTGATGATGAAGGCCCTGTGCAAATTCCATACTTTCTTTCCCCCCCTTTTCAGGGTTCCAGTCTGCCCTCCCCGGGGAAGACTAGAGGATCTTTGGATATTCCTTCTAGGTCCGTTTTTTAATATGCTATTCAGAGGATGGCCCGATTCCCTCTCACTTGGCCTTCTCTTTAGAAAGGGGCACTGGCGTTCTGCAGGAAGAGATGAAGCTCTGCAGCTGGTTCAGGCACCTGCCAGCATCCATTGTCACGTTCCGGCCAGCTCTCCGCACCCTCGCACATCCCATCAGCCAGGGGCACCTGACTGACACGCTGCAGAAATGGATCCACATGTGAGTAGCCAGACGGAGCCTTCCTGAGGCTGGTGGGCACCAACCAGGCAGCCTCGTGTGTGGCCATGCAAGGGCCAGTGATGAACAAGGGACAAGCCTGACCTCCTGAATGATGCTCTGCATGGCGCCCAAGAGGTCACGTCGGCTCCTCACTCAGCCGCCTGTCACCACCTTCATAGCCAGGTAGCCTCCATTGTGGGGAAAAAAGGAGGAATTTATCTTTCAAAACACTATGTAGAAGATTTTATGTTCTCTTTATGTAAGAGTTCTGCCGCTCCCAAACTTTTATTGGGTGCATTGGTTTTTGAGGCCATTCTATGGGGCTCTCGGGGTAGGCTTGGTGAGAGGGCCACAGGCTCTCTGCCCCGAATCCTGTGTTTATACATATTTCTAACTGCCCTGAGATAAGTGTTTTTATATTTTGGGACCCAGATAAGAGTTTTGCAAATGGAGGCCTGCTCTCTTTCTTAATCAAGGCGTGGGACCATGAATTTAACAAGGCCCAAGGACAGTGATTTTATTGCAGGTGCAAGGAAGACATTAAAAATGGGATCACCAGCCTGCTCATGTTCGTGAAGAGCATGAAAGGCCTGGCGGGGATCCGGGATGCCGTGTGGGAACTGCTTACCAGTGAGTCTGCCAGCCACAGCTGGGACGTGATATGCCGGCGGCTCCTGGAGAAGCCACTGTTGCTATGGGAGGATCTGATGCGGCAGCTGTTCCTGGACCGTTTACAGGTACCATGGGCAGTCACATGGTCCGTCAGTTTTATGGCCAATCTTTATGTGATCTTTGACTGACTGGGTTGACTCCTGTCACTCCTAAGTGTATTTTTTCCCTGCTGACTTACTCCAGGGGTTCCCATGCATGCCTTTCAGGGGGGTCTCACTCCAGAGTCCCATGCATGCCTTCTAGGGGGTCTCACTCCAGGGAATCCCATGCATGCCTTCCAGGGGGTCTCACTCTAGGGAGTCCCATGAATGCCTTCCAGGGGGTCTCTTCTGGATATGAGCCGAGATCCAGACTCTGGTGCTGAAAGCCCGGGCTTCTGGCAGGTGATCGGGGGCATGTCCATGTCCATCAGTAATGACTGTCCTCTGCCATCGCCATGTCCTCTTTCTGAGCCTGGTGGAGAACCTTCTGAATGCTGGGGTAGACGCTACTTGCTGCTCTTATTCTGAGGTTTCTGAATGGAATTGTGATTAGAACTCTTCTCATTCTGTTTTAGACTCTGACCAAAGAGGGCTTTGACTCCATCTCCACCAGCTCCAGACAGCTCCTCATGTCCGCGTTGCAGGAGCTGGAAAGCAGCTCCAGCAAGTCCACGTCCAACAAGCACATCCACTTTGAGCATAACATGTCTCTCTTCCTCTGGTCCGAGAGTCCCAGCGACCTGCCTCCTGATGCTGCCTGGGTCAACGTGGCAAACCGGGGCCAGTTAGCCAGCAGTGGGCTCTCCATGAAAGCTCAGGCTGTCAGCCCTTGTGTCCAGAACTTCTGTGCTGCCCTAGATGCTAAACTGAAGGTGAAATTGGATGACCTCCTGGCTTACCTTCCCTCTGACGACCCGGCACTGACCAAGGACGTCTCCCCTGGGCAAGCCAAGAACTGCGCCTTTGACAGGTACGCAGATGCTGGGACCGTGCAGGAGATGCTTCGGACTCACTCTGTGGCCTGCATCAAGCACATCACTGACTGTGTCCGGGAGGAGCTGCAGAGCATCGAGGAGGCTGTGCAAGGCCAACAGGACGCCCTCAGCCGTGTCAAGCTGCATGCGGTCCTTTTCATGGCCAGACTCTGCCAGTCCCTGGGAGAACTGTGTCCTCACCTGAAGCAGTGCATCCTGGGAAAATCTGGGCGTTCCGAGAAACCAGCAAGGGATTCTAGGGCTCTGAAAAAACAGGGAAAGGGGAAAACTGAGAAAGTCCTACCTATGCAGACCCAGTGGCAGGAAGTGAAGGAGCTCCTCCTCCAGCAGAGCGTGATGGGCTACCGGGTCTGGAGCTCGGCAGTGGTGCAGGTGAGGGACATCGATGCATTCTTTCTGTGCTCACTAGCTCATCCTCACTCTGTCTCCCTTTTATTAGAGTCCAGTTTTGCCAACCTTGATAAGATCTCTTAGTAATAAGGGAATAACAATTCTTACTTCACACAGTTACTTACTTTCACTTATCTCTGCCACACAGAGCAAATATCAAAACTCTTCCATTCGCCTTTAGCCTAGATTTTATAGACAGAAACCCTGGATTTTTTTTCCTTCCATCTGATGAGAAAGACTTTCTCTCTGGACAAGGGTATTTCCTGCTCTTCAACCTAAATATCATATTCCCTATAGTCTCTACGGGGGTCTTAAGAGCTGACATTTGTAGAGCAATTAGCAACAAAATGCCCATTGCTAATATCAGAAATTAGACAAGAGAAGAATGACGTTTGCCACTGGCCATCCTACATGTGACCTAAACAGCAGAAGCTGGTTTCAAGATTAGAGTTTGAAACAAACTCTACAGGATCTGACTGGCCTCTATGGGTATTTGCCTTTTATCACCAGGTGTTGGCTCATGGATTCGCCCAGTCATTACTTTTAGATGATGCTGGCTCAGTCCTGGCCACAGCCACCAGCTGGGATGAGCTGGAAATTCAGGAGGAAGCGGAGTCTGGTAGCAGCATCACATCCAAGATCCGACTCCCTATCCAGGTAAGTCAGCGCCACAGTCAGAGCCGGGGCTGGAAACCTGCTCTAGGGAAAGGAGAAAGATTTTAGAAAAACATTAACTGACAGCTGCTGAGGAAGAGCCACAAGTAATATTTATAACTTTCTACAGGTGGGGGAGGCAGAGTGGCCATGGGGCCAAGTAAATAGACTGCAGAGAAGCCAGTTAATGATTCTCTTTCGTAGCACGGGCTCTGTGCTAATTAGAGAACCACTTACCGTAAAGTGAGAACAGCCATGTAAAACAGTGCCACCAGCCAGGTCAGCCCCAGACCACCGAGGGAACGACAGCAAATGTCACTCATCTGTTCACTGGTCTGAAAGAGAGGCTGATTGAAGAGGTCAAGGTCTTGGCGTGAAGCCAGGATAAATGGGCCCGTGTTTACTGCATCACATTTAATTGGTACTTGTTGGTGACTGGACACTCCTTTGTTCTTCTAGCCGTCCTGGTATGTACAGTCCTTCCTATTTAGCTTGTGCCAGGAAATTAACCAGGTCGGAGGCCACGCCTTGCCCAAGGTGACGCTGCAGGAAATGCTGAAAAGCTGTCTGGCTCAAGTAGTTGCTGCCTATGAGCAGCTCTCAGGGGAAAAACAGATGAAGGTAAGTGTTTGACGTTTCTCCGTTCAGAATGGAAATGAACCGGAGCTTTGTCTTGGGTCTGGGCAGTGCACTTCAAGGAGTCCGGTGTCAAGGGTCATTGAGCCAGGCTATCTAGTAATTACACCCATTCTCAGGGGTCAGGCAGGTCTTCAGAAAAAGCAGTCAGTACAGTGGGCGAATGAAAGCCTCGGAGTAACAAGACCCTTCCTGACCGGCCCAGCCACTCACCCCACTCGCCCAGCTTGGGGCAAATCATTAATATGTTTCCTCAGGATCAAATGTGGCCACTTAAACTAAACTCCTGGGGGCTGTGAGGAAGTTGGAAGGATTACAAAGCATAGCCTGGGCACACGAGGTCCTCATCAAGAGTCCTGTCTCCCCACCCTCCACTCCTGTCTGTGAAGCTTTCTGCTCTACAGTCCCATTTCATCAGTAACATTAAGACAGGCCTACCTCTCGAATTGGGAATCCAGACAAGCCTCCCCTCCCCAGCTTCCCCACAGCTCCTCTCCTTCCCGCAGGAAGCGCTTTTCCCTTTAAGTGACCGTCTCCAGCACCCAAACCTTTCCCTCCTCCCTGCTGTTGGGGTTTTTAGTATTAAGACCAAGTTTCTAACCTGTTGTTGTGAGATGCAGCTGACCTTGAGTGTAAAAAGGGTCTGCTTCTGAAATAGCTGTGATTCAACCAACCCATGAAGCTGCTTATTATGCTCTTATGTCATCTCCCTTAATGGGCGGGGACGGGGATTCGTTTGCAGAAAGAAGGCGCGTTTCCAATGACCCAGAACCGGGCACTGCAGCTGCTCTACGACCTGCGTTACCTCAACATCGTGCTGACCGCCAAAGGTGAAGAGGTGAAAGGTGGTCGCAAGCAGGACTCCAGGTACCCTCGCCCCGGCTCCCAGTATGGCCTCTTCCTAGTGCACGTAGCCTGTTCTGGGAGCTGCCAGTTGGCCCCACTGCACAGTAGCTGTGCTTGTTTTAAACAGTAAGTGCTCCTATTACCAGCCAGATAAACAAGGACCACCTGCTGGATAGATTCCACGCTCAGGCACAGTAAGTGGAATCTCCTTCTTTACTGAGTCAGCCTACCAGCTGTTGGGTAGAACTTGAGCCTCGAGTGCCCTCCTTAAAAACAAGGGCAAAGAATGGACTTGACTTAGACATCACATCAGCTTAAACCTCTTGAGGATTATTAATAGGATGATCAGTAACACGTGGTTCTAAGCCAGCAATTGAGAATAAATCGTTCTGGGATTTCTCTAGCACGAATACCGGAAGGTGGGTTTCTGTCCTAACGTGTGGGGAATAACCATCCTAACCCTGTTCTCAGAATTGAGAAAGTGGCCGACTGTTTGGAAGCCCTCATTGACCCCTTCGACCTGGACGTGTTCACACCACACCTCAACAGCAACCTCAGCCGCCTGGTGCAGCGGACTGCCGTAGGTCCCGGCCTGTGAGCCCCAAACCCGCTCCAGCACTAAAGCTC